AACCCTAAACCCTTAACTTTATATACCAAGGGTAAACCCTAAACCCTAAACAGTGTCTCAGCGCTAAACCCTAAACACAAGAGAAGGACCAACGGGCTTCATAAATATGGGTTTTGAATAGAGGGTCAGGCTCAGCGAGGGTTCAGTATGAGGGTTTAAGGGGGAGGGTTTAGGGTTTAGGGTTTACGATGAGGGTTTATAAATTGAGGATCTAAGATTCGCGTTTATTATTCACACATATATTACTCGGATCTATGTGAACGAGGTAATATTAGGATTTACGATTTAGGATTTAGGATTTAGGATTTAGGGTTTAGGGTTTAGGGTTTGTGGTTTGTGGTTTGTGGTTGGATGGGTTTGCAGGTTGAGCACGACTTATCGGTGTTAGATTATTTATCAGATTTTATTTGTTGTCTCTGGGGTAAGCCAGGGGCTTACGGTGTAGTGACGACGCCTTTTAGCGTTCGAGAGGGCATTAATCACTTCTTAGACGGCTTCATCCCAACAGAAAACCTCCGCTTCAGAGACGAAGCACTTAACTTCAAACTTGCTGTAGATCAAGACCTATTAGAAGATGTTCAAGTACGTCGTCCTCTATAAACCCTCATCTTCAGTTGGTTAGGGTTTAGGGTTTAGAAGGGCTTAAGGATTTAAGGGTTTAAAGGTTCAAAGCTTTACTGTTAAGGACTGTTAATTAGGGTTTACAAGGGTTTAAATTTGAAAGGGTTTGAAGGTGTTTCTGATGGTTTATTAAGATTCAGAAGGTTTGTAAGGGCTTATAAGGGTTTATATATACGGGTTTAAAAGGGTTTAAGAGGGTTTATAGGGGTTTGTAAGGGTTTAAAAGGGTCTCGAAGGGTTTATGAGGGTTTATAAGGTGTTTCTGAGGGTTTTAGAAGGGTTTAAAAGGATTTCTAATGGTTTAAAAGGGTTTTGAAGGGTTTAAAGGGGTTTAAAAGGGTTTAAAGGGTTTAAATGCGGTGTACATGCAGCGTCTTCATTACTACGAATACCCCGAAATGCTAAAAAAGTTAGGCACATTTTCGCTCAAAGTCGAAGCCGGCAATTTCTCAGACTCTGAAATTATCGTCATGCTCGGCCAGAATGGAACGGGCAAATCTACTTTCATCAGGTTAGGCTGCTTTTTAGGGTTTAATTTTAAGGGTTTAGAGGCGGTTAGGAGGGTTTAGAGGGGGCTAGGAAGGTTTAAAGGGGGTTAGGAGGGTTTAGAGGGGGTTAGGAGGGTTTAAAGGGGTTTACGAGGGTGTCTGAGGGTTTATGAGGGTTTATAAGGGTTTATAAGGGTTTATGAGGGTTTGGAATGGTCTACGGGGGTTTACGAGGGTTTAGGAAGGGTTTGGGGGGTAGAGGAGGCTTTATTAGGGTTTAGTAAGGTTTTAGTTTATTGTTTAGGGTTTAATTAGGGTTTATTATTGTGTGTGAGGGTTTATTAGGGTTTATTGGTGTTTTTAAGGGTTTAGGGTTTAATGAAGAACGAGGGGTTTAGGGTTTGGAGATCAGATAGGGGAGGGGGACTCTCGCAGGGTTTAGGGTTTAGGGTTTAGGGTTTAGGGTTTAGGGTTTAGGGTTTGTGCAGGATGCTGGCGGGTCTGCTGACGCCGGATAACTCTGAGTCGCTGCCTTCATTTGCTGTTTCGTACAAACCCCAAACCATCTCGGCGAAATTCCAAGGCACCGTCAAGTGCGCACAAGGGTTTAGGGTTTAGGGTTTAGGGTTTAGGGTTTAGGGTTTACGGGGGTAGGGGGTCGGGGGCCAGGCCTTCTCATTCTAAGTGCGGAACGGAGTATGATTCAGGGTTTAGGGTTTAGGGTTTACAGGGTTGACTCTGCTATGCTGCAGCATCCCTTTGCAGCTGCAGCTTAGGGTTTAGGGTTTAGGGTTTAGGGTTTAGGGTTTAGGGTTTGTGGTTCAGGGAGTTATTCTTCGCCAAGATCCGCGATGCCTACAACCATCCACAGTTCCAAACAGACGTCGTGCGGCCTCTATGCCTCGACCAGGTACCACCAAACCCTAAACCCTAAACCCTAAACCCTAAACCCTCGTTGGAGGTGCCTGTACACCTGGGGGATGATTGTGGCTTCGCTTTGTTGGTTGTTTTTTAATCTAAAATTTAATTTTAAATATATTTTTATATTTTGTATTAATGTGCAATCATATCTACGAATCTGCAGTGTATACATCATGCAATATATAAAACTTAAGTATAAATATATATATATTATATATATTATATATATTATATAGAGGTCTCTATCCGTATATATATATATATATATATATTTTATATATATACTTCGTTATTTTAATTGGCATTGGCTGTATATGTGTCTTTCGTA